TCTTTTTATGTGACTGATGTTTGTTTTGAATTCTGTTGACTGCTCTGATAGCACTCTTTTATACTGTGGTGTTTTACAGTTTTAATTTTCAATGTGTTTTACTGTGATTTTAAACTTATTATACCCTGGGAACTTGTTGAATCTCATGATATATTTCACTTTTAGGCAAGACTAAAATAGGTCTTGCTCAGTAATGTTGTAGCAGGAAAAAAGTGGGATACACATATAAAAATAGCATACATAAAGATGGGCAGGTGGTCCAAAGGTAACTAGCCATACTACAAGGTCAAGAAATTTATAGGATGGAATTAGCTTACCTGTGGTTCGTCTGCGAAGTCCCTGCTAAATCAAGAAAAGCCATTCTGTGTGGTTCAGGAGATATTTCCCCGGAGGGACTAGATGGCTCAATCTTTGTTGAATCTTTGGTAAATTTACTTCCTGCATGAGAGGAAGAACAAGAAACATATTTCTCATAGGACAGATTTAGACCAAGGATGTGGGGTTTGCTCAGAGCCTCAGTGGAATGTTGGACAACCTGCAAACTCCACCCACCCCGGCCTTGGCTCCACCCACTTCTGGAGGTATCCCTGCCCATTGCTTGCCCGCACCCCACAAAAGAGCACCTAAACAAAAAAGCCCCCCCTCCCTAATTTAAGAAGCCATACGGCCAGTCTCGAAGCATTATCTTATTTATCTGGCCAGGGCGACTTCTTTTCTTTTCTTTTCTTTTCTTTTCTTTTCTTTTCTTTTCTTTTCTTTTCTTTTCTAACTTTTCTTTTCTAACTTCTTTTATATCGTTTATATTTTTTATTTATTTTATATTATTTAATTTTATATTGTTATTTTTGTATTGTATTGTATTTTATTGTGTAGCCGCCCCGAGGCTTCGGCAAGGGGCGGCATAGAAATGTTCTAATAATAATAATTATCTTCACTCACCTGGCTTGTCATAAGCAGAAGATGTTTAAATGAAAGGTTTTTAAAAGCACATTTTAAAAGATGAAAAGATATACCTGATATACCTTCTTAAAAAAAGACCCTGATTTACTGATATACTTTACTGATAGTGCCATATGGTGGAAAGAGAGACACAGAGACCTCCTTTAAAGAAAAAAACCAAACAGAACCCCTTCCAATGGAATTGGAAAGCTGCGTAGCAAGCGATGCTTTCGTCCACAAAGGACCGAGCCAGGAAGATATCTGGCACCTGAGCCACGAAGCGGGCCTCCTTAGCTCCTCTCGGCTCTTTCATCTTGCGCCGGTTTGCGTGTGGCACCGGCCCGTAGTTCAGGGCGACGAGGGTGAGCTGCCAAGACCTCTGGGCTCACCTACTCCCTGTCCTCTGGCGTCCAGAGGCCCTTTTCCCCTTTCTAATTGACCACATGTGATTGTGATGTCCAACCTTAACTATGGTTTGTTTGAAAGAAGCCAGTTTCAAAGGGTAACTCACAAAGCTGGCTTGTTGCAACAACCTACAGTTAAGAGGAACCACAGTTTAGGGCTGAGCAAGGCTGGGCTTTAAAAAATTGAGCATTCTTTGCGGTTGCGTTGGTGCAGCCAGGGAAGTGCGCGAGAGTGAGGCTCGCCGCCCCTCAACTGCGTGACTCTAACCATGGTTTAGTGTTACATGCAAACTCTCCTGGTCTCTTTTTGAAGCAAGGAAGGGCACAAATCCCCGAACTAGGGAGAAAACCTTTATGGAGATCTAGCTTAAATCTGAGAGGATGAGAAAGTAATTTCCCCACAGACAGAAAGAATTAAAGAGGATGAATAGCATACCTGTAAAAATGCGCTCATCAAACATCCTACAAAGAGAGGGGACAAAACAATTAAGTTCGAAAGAAGGGGGAAAGGTGGGCAAAGACTTCCGCTCGTCGCTCGGGTAGCTGACCCTACCTGGAACTAGTAGGTCATTCTCTGATCGCCCCCCAGTAGCCCCACCTTCCCTACGCTTTAATTGTTGTCTCATAGAAAGAAGGCCAGGAACCCTTTAAGTTTTAAGTTAGGAAAAAGAGGAAATTTCTTCCGCGCTGGTCTAAAATGCTCGTGCTAATTTATCACAGAGCATCTCTCCTTTTCCAGGGGAGTGGGCAACAGGAAGTCTCCAGATACTTCAGCCTACAACTCCCATCATCCCTTACCACTGGCCATGCTGCTAGGGCTGATGGGAATGGGAAGCGAACATGCTTGAAATTGTCAGGTTGTTTGCTTCTGTCTAAGTCTCTTCCGTTCGGTCTTTCTCCCCTTTCTTCACTGTTGGCCTCCATCTTTTGCAGGGGAGGAAGAATTTTGGAAGGAAAGTATTTCCTTTAGTTCCGTTCATCACAGCACGCAAGGAATTACCTGCTGGGCCAAGGTGCAACTGCTCACCAAAATCCATAAATATTCAGAATGAAAGACTGTCCAGCTAGGAATATTCTGCTGCATTCCGAGCACAAGGCTACTTTGGGAGGAGCATGAGTCCAAAGCGCAAAGCTCTGCCCAGGCACCCCAGGGCCAGCAAACTCGGGGAAAGCCAGTTTCCCCAAGGCACCCAAGCTGAAGCACAGACTGGGGAGCCCTGGGAGCCTGGCATGCACAGCAGTCCTGAGCGCATTACGAGCCAGACGGTGTCATCAGGAAGTGCAACCAGACCTGAGATCCGGACGGGAACTTAAGGAAAACAGCAATTTGGTGTGGAAAGCAGGTCTCTTTATGAAAGCAGAACCTGCTGAATGAAGGTTTTGCCTTTCTACTTTGCAGTTCCCTGGAGGTTCCCGGAACGACCAAGTACCTTTTGATCACGAAATGGATGTGGTGCCGTTCCTCCAGGATTCGTTTCAGCTTTGGAACGCCGTACGTGCAGGGCCGTTTGAACGGGATTTTGTCTGGAATCCCAATGATTTCTACTGCTTCCGGGTCACAAGCAATTTTCCGGTATGGGACAGGGACCATGTGATCGAGTCCCAAGGCTTCAGCTGAAAGCAAGAAAACATTGAATGTTTAAGGGAAGAACAGGTGAAGGATTCATGACAGAAGAACGGGCCTAACCAGGGAGAGCTGAGCTATGGTGCAGCGGCTCAGAGAGGACCCTCCAAATCGGGACGTCCCGAGTTCGAATTCCACTCCTACCAAGAACTAACTGGGGCCCCTTCAGCAAGACCCTCAGCCCTTTTTGCTTTCCGCAGGGACACCATAATATTGAACAAGTTGCAAGGGTTTTGGTGGTGCATTTTCTTAATTAAGGTGCTTTTTAAGGGTTTTAATAATACCCCTGATGAACGCCAGTCATTAGCACCCCATGACTCATCTTCCAGTTCTCCCACTTTCTCCTCAAATATTTTCCTCCTCCAGAAAAGCCAAGATGGTAGGGAAGAAAGTGTGGTAGAGAGATGGTAGAGAGCCAGTGTGGTGTCGTGGTTAAGAGCATGGGACTGGGACTCAGAGGATCCGGGTTCGAGTCCCCACTCAGCCACGGAGCCAACTGGGTGACTTTGAGCCAGTCACAGACTCTCAGCCCAGCCTACCTCACAGGGTTGTTGTTGTGGGGATAAGATGGAGGAGGAGACTGATGTAAGCTGCCTTGAGCCCTTTGCAGGAAAAAGGCAGGATATAAATCAGAAAGAAAAAGAAAAAAAGTAAGACAGAGAAGAAGAGGGGAGAACAAGGGAGAAAGGAAGGGGCAAAGGAGGAGGACGAGAGGGGAGAGGAAAACAGAAGCTTGTACAAATGTTCTTCAACAGCACTACTGCTGTCTCTTTCATCCTGAGGACTACTGGTCGAGTTTGGATGCTAACACGTCCTTTCTCTGGATGAGTTGGACTATGCCATAAAGTTCATGGGCAATCTGGGGTGAGGATGAAAGGGGTGTTGGAAATGTGTGGGAACATTGTCTCGAGGTCATTGCCCCTGTTGGGAAAGTTCAGATAAATCCTGGGAGAAAAAAATTGCTTCTATGTGCCTTGGTGTTATAAAATCAAACCTGTGCCCCTTTCTTGGAAAGCAACAGAATTCCAAGCCTCTTCTAAGAAGAGGGCATTCTTAGCTGGACGGAGAAGCTGCTGGAGGCTAATACTGTTAGTGAGGAAATGCCCGTGTGCTCGTCAGCTGCAGAAAAGCGGAAACAAGGGCGCCCATTTGCTTCTGAACGGGCCCACCTAAGCAGCGGGTCCCCCAGGGGCAAGGGCCTGCACCGTGTGGCTGCCCAGCCAGATTTCCCGAATGGCTCCTCTGTCGGACACATTCGCATGTTTAAGCAGCATCCCAACGGCAAAGGGGACTCCTCAGCTGACCGGCCAATAAAGCCATCAGGCACACTTCCCACGCTATTGCTACCAGTGGTCCTGATCCGTTCAGAACATCACGCCATGCCCAAAGACGTCCGGATGCTCGTGCACTGGGAGCCGAACACTCTGTGTTGGTGTATGTGACTAGCGGGTTATAAAACTGTCTGCACATGGGCTGTGATTTTGTAGTTGAGTTTGCCTCTACCCAGGAATGCACTATCGTCAGCAACTGCAGGTACTGGGCCACCGATCAATAAAGTTGCAGAGCTTCAAACGTTTGATCTTTCCCACGGAGCCGAGTGTTCATTTCCTCGCCAATTGAAAACCGAGATTCTGTCACCCCAGGTGGTCAGACAGACCATGGGAACAGACCGGGCTTGAGAGAGAAGGGAGGAGACAAAGGCTGTCTGGTCTTTCACCCCATAGCACAAGGGTCAGGATAGAACAACTACCAGTAAGGGGGCTTGTGTAGATCTCCAAGACGGAGATCTACAGACAGATCTCCACAGAGGAGTGGAGTCCAGCATTACCAAAAAAAAATGGATTTTCGGAAGCAGTGTCCAGGTTAGGTCAACCAACCACTCTGCTCATGCTCAGAGACTAGTCTTTCAGTTGCTGCAGCGCGTTAGCTGTGATTTAATAACATTTTGCAAAAAGATTGTTGTTTTGGATGCAGGTTCCTCTCCCAGCTGACGAAGGAAACGATTTCCCCTGGGGCAACTGCACCGTCTAGTGAATCTTCCATCCCAGCACGGACCAGGCCAATTATAAATTTACTGACTGGTGAGAGAAGTTCCCAGAAGACCAGACGAGAGCATTAATTAGAAGCTGTGGGCCTAAAATACGCTGCACCAACAGAGCAATTAAGAGCAAGGACACGTAGCATATGGCGTCTACCGCTGCGTCAGTGACTAAAAATAATAATTAAAAAACGCCAAGAAAGAAATGCACGCAAATGCCTGAAGATTGCTCCATAATGAGATGCAAGCCAGAAGCGCTGCAGACGACAAACCGGAGTTTTCGCGCCCACTCACCATATCTGCTGTTAAACAGAATTTGCACACATTCTCTCAGGGTGTTGATATCTTCGGTTTCTTTTATAAAGCTGTCCCATTTGTCTAGGAAAACAAAATAAGAAGTTTCTGCGTGGCACCAACACGATACCTTCTTCTCCCACCTCGAGAGTCCAGGTGGTTCCCCTGCCACACTCCGAGGGGGAAAGCCAGCAGGGCCCGCTCTGCGGCAGCCGCTCCGCTTTTCGGCCAGATGGCTCGCAAAGTCACCGCACGAAAAGGCCACTCCGTTAGCTGGAAGCAGGGACTGCAATTCTCAGCCCTTGGTTTGCTTTCCTCCATGCCGCGATACAATGCCAATTTAGCTGGGAGCAGGTCCCAGCTAAGTCCCATTGAACTCAATGGGCACAGACTCATAGAGTTTGCCTGCCAGAAACCAGTCCCCGAATCCCTGCAACAGCACAGACGGACATACCCTCTTCTGGAATGCCCTTTGCAGGTAGGTTCACCTGGCACTTTGCAGGTAGACTCACCTGGCACTTAGCTGTACCTGGCTGCACGCATTTCCACCCCTCGCCCAAGTCCCCTGCATTTTCCCAAGCCTTTTAAGTGCACTCTCCGTTTCCTCGGCAATGTGTGAAATTGTCGCTTCTATTTAAAAACATGAACGGATGGCTTTCTGTGTGTTTTACTCTCTATTTGATCGATGGATTTCAATTTTATCCCACCGCGAAGCTTTCTATGTGGCTCACAAGAACGTCCAACCATTTAAAACATCAAACACAGTATTTAAAAATTTAAATGGTAAAGCAGTGTGAAAAGTAAAGATGAAAACGAGAGTAAAAGCTAGCAGCCACCCTGGTAAAAGCATTTTGTACTGAAGTGTGGCATATATACATAGCTGAAGCAGAAATTGTGATCAATTCTTGGCAAGCAAAATGTTTTCGTTCATTAACATCAGTAACACTAGTTGCATCTGGGGTCACTTCGGACCCCACACAAGAGTGCTTCAGGCAAGAAGCATGCTGCACAGGAGAGGCCTTCGTTCTGGTTGAGTGTTGCCCCCAGGAGGTTTGGATGAGCACGAGCTCTCAGCAGGCCCAGGGAACTGAAGGCCGAATCCTTCCTGAGGTTCTGCAGAACAACAGCACCACTGCAATTGACCTCTTCTCTGCCTTACAGCAATTTCACCTACTAACTTTAAACCAGTGTTAACAAATCTTTCCTTTGATGGATTTAAATTCTGTTTGCTAGAGTTTTAGCTCAGAATCACAACTTTCGAAAGGGCCCAAAATGACCGGTACTGAACCTTCTTTTATTCCCTTGTTTGGGGCCCATTTGGGGGATATAAAAGGGCCTTGGAGAATTATTCTTATGGAGAACTGGGGAGAGGTTAGGACCCAGATATTTTGCTTATAGAAAAAAAAACATAAAAGGGCAGGAGACTTTCACACTCCGATGGCACAACTCAACTTCCCTTGGACTTTTCAAGGAGCAAAAAATGCAAGCGTACCTGATTTGTCATGGACTATTGAGAAAAGGATGCGTTTTGAGGAGTGGACATTCTGGATCAGTGGGCCGCCTGGGAGGGTGGATTTCTGTCCTGGACACAAGAAGGACAGAAGCAAAGAGAATGAGGACTGAGAGACGCGGGAGCAAGAGAGGCAACGAGAGAGAGCGGGAGCGAAAGAAAGGCGCCTGTGAGCATCAGCGCGGGTGCCTTGAAAGTAAAAACACAGCAGACACGCCCAACTGTCTGCTTCACCCCGGCCAAGGATATGCGAGCAACCTACTGAAAGGCTACTGATGGGCCTTGTAGTCCAACAGAGCTAGAGCGTTCCAGGTTGGAGAAGACAACTATTCCTTGGAGGCAGCGCTAGCTCGCGGTTTCCTGCAAGCACTGGCCATTGGGGGTCCCCCAGCTTTTGTGAAGTTCCCCTGCACTGCACCCCATCCCGAAATGCCTATTTTGAGGTTCGGTTCAGTTCCTGCTTGTGAGAGCCTTAAGCTAAGAGAGGCTGGTATCAGTAGGTATTCTTCTGGCTCCTCCTCTTTTGCCCTTGCCCCGCCCCTTTGCCCCCAGGGCCATCCAACACCAGAAGGCAGCCCTCCCTCTATACTGGAAATCAGCCCCATGGAATCATGAGATAGTCAAGTGGGAAGGGGCCTGTAAGGCCATCAGGTCCAACTCCTGCACAAAGCAGGACTCCAAGTCCAAGCATCCCCAACTGATGGCCATCCAGTGGCATCCTGAAGGCTACCAGGGCGGGGTACCCCCATGGCTTGAGTTCCACTATAATCTTGCTTGAATAGTCAGGAAGCTTTACCTGAAGTTCAGGTAATGAACCTGACTTCCTGTAACTTGACCCCATTATTCCGTGTCCTATACTCTGGGATAAGTGAAAACAGATCCTGGCCCTCCTCTTTGTGACAGCCTTCCAGGTATTTGTAGAGGGCTATCCCATCTCCCCTCGGTCTTCTCTTCTCAAGGCTAAACATGCCCAACTCTGCTGATCTCCCTTCTCAGGCCTTGTTTCCAGTCCCTGGATCATCCCTGCTGCCCTCCTCTGCCTGCCTTCCAGCTTGTCCACATCTTTCTTAATCTGTGGGGCCCAGAACTGGTCACAGGGATCCAGGTGAGGCCTAACCAGTGCTGGGTAAAGGAGAACTAGGATTTCATGGGATTTGGAAGTGATATTTCTTTAATGCAGCCAAAAATGACATTTGTCGTTTTTGCCGCTGCATCACATTGTTGGCTCATATACAGCTTGTGATCTACAACAGTCCCAAGATCCTTGGAAAGGGCTTCTCCCCTTGTGCTTTATTGGACCTCTGCCTTGCTTAGATCCTCCCTCAAATTCCTTGCTGGAAGACAAACTTGTACCAAGCATGCGTCCATACACACATGCACCCTGCCCGGGTTGGAACCCTGCCTACCTGAGATCAGCATTTGGAATCCATTGAACAGGGAACTCACTGATACCTGCCCTGAACCCTTCTTTACCCACTTTTTAGATCTAAGGAATGCTGGGAGGCTAGCACTGGGGCAGGGCATTACGGGGAATTAAAGATATTAACTTTCCCACAATGCCCCGGGACAGCACGACATCAAGGGCATTGTGGGGAATGAAAAGAACAGCTTTTTTAGAGTGCTGCCATTGCTGCGCCCCTTTCCAGAATGCCCTGATGCATTACAGATCGAGCTTCACTTTGCCGTGAAGTCCTTCGGCTCGGAAACGTAGAAGCAACACTTTGGACTCAACATGTGTCAAGGTTTTCTCTGGTAAATACGTTGCTGTCCCTCATCTAACCCTAAAGCTCAGTTTATGGGACAGGAGAGGTGCTTGGAGAACAGGCAAGCTCTTCCTGAGAACTCTCTGAGAAGTTTGCCCTTAATAAGTCAATTCCAAACTGAACCAAGGGGATGCCACTCAGTAGCCCGCAGTGAGTGAGGGGCAGCACAGAACTTTCCCCCCAGAGTCACCCAGCCTGGAGCAACCAGGCTGTTTGTGGGTTTGGGGGGACACAGCTAGTTTTGTCATTTCCTGCCCAGGAGCGGCAGGCTTGTGACCCCTCAAAGCCATTGTTGCAGCCTTCCTCTTCTCACCCAACTTCGATTTTGACCCAAGGCCTTTCCACAGACTCTGAAGAGACCATTCTTGGTCAACAAACATTGGAGGCCTTTACCGCAGCAGTCCCCGAACTCCTGCGGCGAAGGCACCTTCGTGTCTCCCGCCGGCCGGGGCCGCAGCATCTCGCCGACTGCGTTCACCCCATGCCGACCAGGCGGACCCTCTTGCTTGATCTCCATGGCGATCTGTGTGGGCAGTGGAACACCGTACGGGAAACTGTTGGCAGGAACTCCAGAAAGCGCATCGTGATTGGCTGTTTTAACATGCACGTTGTTAAGGCCAGGCTCTCGGTTCCCTTTGGATGCCAGGGCACCAGAGTTCACCTCGACACAAGAGTTGGGCTCCCTGGTGGAGTCTTCGGGCGTCCTAAAAGGGAGAGGAAACCGTATGTACATGTCATGTGCTCTTTAAAGTATTGAGTTGTTTTGTGCCTCTCCTCAGTGAAAAAAGGCTTTCGACTCAGTGGAATGGGATGATTCCTTCCATAGGCTTATACTCTAACAGGATAACAACCTGTGAGAAAGAGGAAAGGGTGAGGGAAGAGGAAGTCCAGTTAAGTGGTAGGCATATCATGAGTGGAGCCAGGAGTCAGACTAGATGGCCCGGGAGGCCCCTTCTGACTTGCGCTGTTTCTCCATTTCCAAGTCTGCCTGTAGAACTGGTGGAATAGTCCTGTTTCCTTCTCCCGTTTCCTTCAATGTAGCATGCTGCGATAGCTGCTGGGGCCGACAGAACTTAAAAAGAGCCATGTCGGATCAGGCCAAAAGACAATCTAATTGAGCAGCCTCTTCTGAACCAGAAGCCCCAGTGGGAAGACTGCAACCCAGTGTAACAGCACCCTGCTGCCCATGTTCCCCAGCAACCAGGGCTGAGAGGTATCCAGCCTCCAATCCTGCAGGTGATACGGAGCCACTGGACTCATCCCTGTGGTTCAGCTTCTTCTCCAGGAAAGATCTCACAGCCCATCCCCACGTCGGAGAAGCCAGCCGACACATCCGAGTGGTCTCTCCCACAGCAGGACAGCCTTGAGACTTCAGGGAGGAGGGGCCTCCAGTGGAAGCAACCTGGAGTGGCATGGCCCATTGACCACCAACTGTGCAGCGGTTGGCCATTGTGGGATCAGCATGCTGGACTAGAGAGGCCGGGGGTCTGACCCGGAACTGCTCTTCCCGAGCAATTAAAAAAGCGGAAGGCTTAATCTCATCCCCTACCCCAGTATCTGGACCATATGTTGTTGTTGTTAGTTGCAAAATCACATCCAACCCATCGCGACCCCATGGACAACATTCCTCCAGGCCCTCCTGTCCTCCACCAATCCCTGGAGTCCACATCTGGACCATACCCACCTGCCTTTGCCCAAGCTATTGATGCCCAAGCTACTGGCCAAGCCAAGAGGGACCCTCCCAGAAGACCTTCCTCTTACCTTCTTAGCCTGAAGCGCATATTGTGGCTATGTTCTAAAATAGCCATCAGAGACTTTGCATCGTACTCGGTGGGTTTTCTGAAGATGAGTCCATCGGGCAACCCAGAAACCGTCAGCATGCTGGGCTCTTTCAAGAACTTCTCGTACGGCAGTGGAACCACAGTACTCTTTCCCAAGGCCTCACCTGAGTCAAACGGGAGAGGAAAAGGCAAACTGAACCCAGGTCATCACACTACGAACGGTCCAAGCGTGCGCACACTCACTCCCCTTACATTTTTCAAAAAAGTAGCTATTTTGGCCTGTCAACCAAGACTCTTGAGGCATCTTGAAGGACGGATGTGACATCAGCTTGCATGGACTGATGTCCACTTCAAAGACAGACTGCAGATTTTGGGCATATCATGACACATACATGACACATGGGGGCCAAGGAAAGTCAGAGGCAGAAGAAAAGGAGGATCAAAGAGGAGATTGATCGACTGGAGAGATGCTGCCAGTCAGCGTCAACAATTCTGGGTTCTAAGGGAGTTTTCAGCATTCTACTCAATGTTCTCTTCAGAGCAAGTGAATCCTCATTACAGCAGCAGGAAAGTAAGTTATTACGAGTAGCTTAGAGCCGACTACTGCACTTATCTTCAGAAGCTGTTAACATAATCCTAGCCACACAGTTCAGAAAGTTGGGAACTAAGAACAGTGCATGGACTGAGCCACATTCATTGATAAGGCCTTGGAAAAATGCAGCAGAAAGCCCTGGAGAAACTCCCTACTGGTCACCAGGGTGAATACAATATATTTTAGATGTAAACATGGTAGGCATGTTTTATTTTATACTGTCTTATTGTTGAACCGTCCCGAGACCATGGTAAGGGATGGTCTAGAAAAGTTCCAAATAAATAAATAAGGTGGATCCTTACTATAAAGCACGTCGAAGACTTCTTCCACCATCTTCCTGAGGAGGTAAACATCTGATCCTTGATCGGGGGAGATCCGTGGAATACTCCGGCCAAAGTCTTTTGCCTTCTTCTGGCCGTCTAGCTCTTGCTCTTTCCTCTGATGGACTTCTGCCAGCGGGAAAGTCGAGCGGGAGAGAGAGAAATGCCAGCTCAGGAAACGTATTCTGGCGAGAGCCACGGCAACAGGTGTTAAGGGGAGGATCCGGCATTTGGTGCTGGGGGAGTAAAATCCAGTATCTAACTGGAGGGGGCCATGACCAGTAACTTCCCCTCATCCTGTCATGGCACTCGGAAGTGCTTGCCAGGGAACCTACGCGTTGGTTCTTTCCTGGAATCCTTCGCTGAAGGTTCTCTCCGGATGGGCACTGTTCTCCTGCCAGGGAGCATGCAAGATGCAGGACACAAGGTGACTCTGGATCCAGAGACGCCCGACTGCCACTCACAGGCCCGCGCAGCAGGTCCCTGCGCCTTTTAGCCTTCCTTCTGCCCCTCCTATCACCCCGTCCCCCAGCCCAGCAGGGGCTCCCTCCGACATGCTCTCATCTCTAGCTCATTGGGGGCAGGTTGCCCAGATTTTTATTTTATTTATTTATTTGAAATATTTATTTGCCATCCCAACACTAAAAGTCCCAGATGCAAAGCAACCCTTAACTCTGGCCCCGCACACCAAACTAGGGTGACTACAAACCATGATTTGCAAACCCACTTCAAACCAAGGTTGTCTCCTCTGGCTTGACCACTGGTGGCAAACCACAGTGACTCTCGTGCTCCCTTGAAAACAGCGGTGTTTCTCTGCCCATGTTTTGTCTCACGACACTCCTGAATAGCTCGGTCAAAACCCAAGCCTGATGATTCAGATTTCCTGTGGATCAGAGTACCTGCCCCTCCTCTTTTTCCTGAACTTGTGCTCTCCTGTTTCCGCTTAAATCACCTGCTGGCTTCCATGGGAGCTGCCCCCTTACGGGATTAATAGCCACTCTAAAGGCAGTGGTGGCAAAATTAAAAAACCTTCTATGTAAATAGAAGACTGAAGAATTTAATGACAAATGGACATTCTATCATACCCAGCACAATTAACAGATGTAAAAGGAAGCTCTTTAAAAAGTAGTTGATGATTTAGAATTGATTTGAAGCAATTGGAAATTTGTAGGTGGAGAACGATACAGACGGAAAAAAACAGGATGCCAGAGCGGCCTCAGGTTGAGCCCATCTCCCCAACATTATCCACACCATGGCAGGAGAGGTTCTCCGGAGCTTCCGGCTGGATTCTTTCCTGGGCTTATACGGTGTTGCTAGCAGGTATCAAACCTAGAGCCCTTGGTATGCAAGTCAACTGTTCCACCGCTGAGTTAAGGCCAAGCAGGGGAAGGCAGGGAGACATTAAAATTGAAAACAAGCTGTGCGTTTTGTTGTCGAAGTCTCCTTAGGGTTGTCCCTTTAATAACTTTATTGGGTGGTGGTGGTGGTGAGGAGTAAGGAGAAAGAATAATTCAAGGTGAACGGCGCCTCCCTCATCCAGGAGCTTTGCTCCACTTCCTTCTGAACGAAGCTCGGGGAGGGGACCTCAGAGCTACGGCAAACAAACAAGCTAAGAGCCTTTGCTAATACTCACAAATGGATTAGACTTGGGGCAAAATTTACAGCTGGTGTTCGCTCGGCAGATAATCCAGGCAGGCATTGACCTTGGCAGCCTAGCAGGGCTAATATTTGCAGGAGAATGTGCTGTTCGTGAGCATTCCTCCGAGGGGATTAAAAGTGGATGTGCTCCACATGGCATCAAGTGTGCAGCGAGGCCCACGCTTTCTCTCGCACGGAAAGCCTCTGGTTCGTAAGGAAACAGCCTTGGTTTTTTGGCATTTTCCCCCAGCTCAGGCCCAGTCGGGGCTCTTGGCCCACGTGTGGGGAGCTGTGGATGTACTGCAGGTGGCAGTTCAGCCCCCAGGGTGTGGGGGCCGCCGGAGATGCACCAGTGTGGATGCACCCAAAGGTGCTTTTCCAGACATGCAGCTTCTCCCAGCAGCGTCTGCGGGATTCTCTTTCTGGGATGGCCGGCACCCTCTCCAGTCAAATGCCACAGAGGGAAGGCTGGTATCTGGGCCAGATCGAGGGGTTCCTGAGCCCACAGGAGGTGGCTGCTGATCCTGACAACACAGTCAGCCCTTCTTCCCACAATCCTTTGGTCTCAGGACAGATGCTGAGTAGCTACCTCACTCTTCAGAGTGCAGGCATCTGGAAGTCAAGGCTTGGCTGATTTTTTTTAAATTTATTTAGGATATTTGTATGCTGTCTTTTGCAAGAGCCTCAGGACGGCTTACACAAATAAAATACAAATATCTAACAGAACATAAATAAATTAATGACCCACTCTGGCTGCAATTAAAATATGATAGCATTCAATATTGAAGCTTATTAAAATATTGATTAAATAAAAAGGTCTTAACCTGGCACCAAAAAACATATAATGACGGCGCCAGGCGGACCTCTCTGGGGAGCGCATTCCATAGTCGGGGCGCCACCGCAAAGAAGGCCCTCCTCCGAGTGCTCTGTCTCCTAACGTCTTTCATGGAGGGTTCCCGGAGGACCACCTCTGCTGCCGATCTCAGGGGGCAGGAGGGCAAATAGGGAAGAAGGCGTTCCTTTAGCTATCCTGGTCCCAAGCCATTTAGGGCTTTATAGGTAATAACCAGCACCTTGAATTGAGCCCGGACTTCGATGGGAAGCCAGTGGAGCTGATAGAGGACTGGGGTTATATGAGAATAACGCCCAGTCCCCGTCAGCAACCTGGCAGCTCTGTTTTGCACCATCTGAAGTATCTGGACCATCTTCAAGGGCAGCCCCATGTAAAGCGCGTTACAGAAGTCCAACCGGGAAGTAACCAATGCATGTGTCACTGTCACCAGGCAATCTTCCTCCAGGTAGGGATGCAGCTGATGGATTAGCTGAAGCTGAAGGAAAGCGCTCCTTGCCACCGCACTCACCTGAGCTTCCAAGGACAGCTCCGGGTCGAGGAGCACTCCCAAGCTGTGGACCCTGTCCTTTAGAGGGAGTGCAACCCCATCCAGGGCAAGGCCCAAGTCACCTACCCAGGAGCTTGAATCACCCACCAACAGGACCTCCGTCTTATCTGGATTGAGTTTCAGTTTATTGGCCCTCATCCAGCCCATTACCTCAGCCAGGCACTGGTTCAGCATAGCCACTGCCTCACCTGGATTGGTGGAGAATGAGAGGTAGAGCTGGGTATCATCAGCGTACTGATGGTTCCGCAGCCCACACCTC